GGTCCAGCTGAGGGCAGTATGGGGGTGGGTCACCTTTCAGGTCTGCCCATACCAGGCAAAGACCTTGGCCCCTCTTTTGGTGGGATTAGAAAGAGCTTTTCTATACAATTTAAGTCACCAAGATAGAATGAGCACATAGCCCCCAGACCCCTAACCCCTCTCTCAGCCTCCCTTCACCCCAGTTCTAGGAGTCAACAGAACTGGTGATAAAACTTCTTCCAGGAGTCCCTAAACAAGCGTATCATCAAAGAAGAGAGGAAAACCAGCCGGCCTGGTCTTGCTACTGCCTATGTTGACCCTGCTCCTCTCATGTGTGTTTCAAGAGCAGCACTGGGCTCCCCCAGGCTTTCAAAGGCTGGCTTTTCAGAAGAAGGAAGTCAGTCTCTCTCCCAAGGCCTCAAGCCACCAACCTTTCAGTCGGAGGACGAGAGCTGACCCGCACGCAGCACCCAGAAGTCTAAGCAGATCCATGTTGCATCTTATTACCTTTCCCTCAGACTCATCCCCCACCTCCCGGTCTTGGCCCCTCTGTGAAGAAAGGTTTCTCTATCTGCAAAGCTTGGGGACCATTCGCAGCAGGATTGGGGCATGCTGGTCCAGGCCCCCTGCCCCCACTCCTCATCCCCTTATCTCCAAGCAGGCATCTCTTAAGCAGGGGTTCCTACCTAAAAATAGAACAGACATCTAGGTTTACAGAGCAAATTGGGCCCCTGGGACTCCCAAGTGGGCCCATGGCACTCACTCGATACTCTGTTTGGCAGCCTGGTGGAAACGGCGTGTCTATCTCCCTGCCAGAACTTGCCCAGCACACCCAGCAGGGAGAGGCCAGGCCTGCCTTCGGCCTCAAACCGTCCATACCCGATTTTATTATTTCACAGTTCACCCAAGAAGAAAAGCCAGGCTCTTGAGAAGGTTCACTTCTACCAGCCCAGTGACCAGAAAGACAAGAGTGGGTGGCACTTACTCATGGGGCGTCCGCAGGGTGGGCTGGCCAGGGACTGAGCAGGGACCTCAGGTCATTTCGAGTTTACAGGGACCCAGGAAGCACTGGACCCTGTGACTACGTGCCAGGGATGCTCAGCTCCCAGCCAAGCCCCCCACCCCCAGCCCCTTGCCCTGCGTATGCGGCTGGCTTGCTCACTTCTTCTGGAAGGCCAGGAGCAGCCTCGGGTCCAGAATATTTTCCTCTGGCTCCCAGCTGTTGTGTCTGGAAACGGAACGGAGAGGGCTGTGTAAACACCGGGCTCCTTTGGAAAGGAGCCTGGCCCGTTGGCGGCCAGGCCATTGTCCCAGGAGGGCCGGACCCCATCCAGGAACTACTCCTGGGAGCCCCACGGAAAGCCACCACCTCAACCACCCTGATTATAATGAGTTCAAAAAGAACTGCGACCGGTGGGTCCCGAGGAAAACACAAGGAAAGGCAAAGTGGCAAGGAGGGAATCCCCTAAGCCCTGGCCGGGAGCCAGCGTGGGAAGGCTTGGTGGCAGAAGGGCCAGGCACGGGAGGGGGGTGTGGAGGGAAACCACAGGCTGCGATTCTAAACAACAGCGTGGCTGGGCGACAAGTGTGTGCGGAGTGGGGGGAGGGCAGCGTGTCTCATGGGTGTACTGGACCCGCT